CATACAATTCTTCATCGTTATGTTCAAAAGATGGAATTGTTTTAGAAAAATCAATAACTGGTTTTCTTGGCAATAAAAAATTATAACAAGTTAATGCAATTCTGACGAGATAGCCAAAGTCTTCTTTGTTGAATCCAAAAACTGATCTAAAAATACGAAATTGATTTGTCAAAGACGCAAAAACGTGTTCCACGACATTCCTTGACTTGGAATGGACTTTGTTAAACTTGTGATAAAAATCACGTTTTTCTTCGCATATTTCACTTTTTGCGTTTTTAATTGGAACATCCATATAATCTTCATCTTTTCTCAAATATCCCAAATCTCCCAAAATAAATTCACCGGGTTTAACCATTGATCTGTTACAACTGTGCAATTTTGAATCGTTTATTGAACCTTCACAAACATTTGAATCTAAAACAAATCCTTGTACGTTCACTTTAATTTCAAATTTCATTCCCGAACCATTTATTTTTTTCGAATACAATTTTTTTTCTCTCACTTTTCCATTTTTTGTTAAAATACAATTTGAAGCTGTTGTTTTAGAATCGATTGCCCAGTAACTGTTAATTAATTCTGGCATTATTTTCAAATCTTTAACTTTTTTACCAAGTGCAAATGGTATCAACACATTTGGACTATTTCCCAATTTAACTACCATTTTTTCATAAATTGTCTCGCCAAAGTGATTCTTAAAGTCGTGGTATTGTTTAGATACATAATTTGACATATTCTTTTTCATTCTCAAAATGTATTCTTCCTCTGTTTCTATTCTTTTCATTTTTTCTAAACACACTTCCCCTCGTTTTGAAAAATGACAAAACCTTTCTAAACGCAATAACACAAAAGTCAACAAATAGTTTAATCCGAATCTCAGTATAACTAAAACGAGAAATGTCAAAGATTTGTATGAAAGTGACGCATTTTTATTTCTTTTTCCTAAAATTGCAGATTTTTCCACTGAAAAATAACAACACTTTCTAACATCTGGAGAACCTACAAAAGTAACTTGCGATGATGTGATCAGTTTGTAATACTTTTCAAATTCGCATTTACTCATTCCAATATAAAAATAGTAACTTTCATCATTTTCTGCAATTTCGTCCATTATTTCTTTATTTTGAATGTTATCACATTCATCTTCAAGTGTTTCACCAGAAATTGAAAATAAATTGCAATTTTCTAGTTTTGTGTAATTGTTGTATTTTTCTTCTTTTGAAATGACAGTCAAAGGCGGGCAAAAACAATTTCTCAACACAAACAAATCATCTGGTTCAATAACATGTTCGTCATCAAAAAACATTTTATCATAAGCAATTTGTTTATGTGTACGCACATAATCTATTTGAGGAATTGTTTGAGTTGCTAATTTATATTTTTTCTTTTTTCTTGATCCTTTTTTATCTTTTTCGTTTTTTGAACATTCTTTAATTTTTTTCTTTATGTTTGTTTGCTTAGTTTTTTTGTCGATAAAATCTTTTTCCACATTTTCACTTTTTTAATTGATATTTTTGTATTTTTTTGTTGTTTTATTGAAGATTTTACAATTTTTTCGGATATTGTTTTTTCGATTTTTTCATTGTTATGTACATTCACTTTCGGTTCTGTTTTACTAGAAACTAAAGAAGGAAATTCAACTAAATCGAAATCAAAATCATCTTTAAATGGATTTTTAAAAATCTTTTGTGTTGGCAAGTCTCTTTTCATTGAAATACAAGTTTTAACAAACAACTATAAATAATATGAATACTATTTTTTGTTTATTAGATAAAATTACATTTATATTCGACAATAACACATTTTATTTATTTCACTGATCGATTATTATAATTTATTAAACAAAATTAACATTAAAATATAGCGTTTCAAATTAGTTGCATATTTAAATAATGAAAATGCCAACTTGTTTTTGATAATTTTATTTATA